CTCCATCTTTGTCTTCTCTAACTCTTATCAATGGTCTCATGACCTCTGTCAAACTTAATAGGACTAATTAAACTTTATGGTCCCGATCTGTTCAAGTTTTTTTCCGAGGCAAAGGATTTAAGAAATATCTAGTGGATTCTAAACTCAAGGAAGACACTCCTAGATATAATCAGTGAGAACAAGAGGATGCTCAGATTATTTCTTTGTTGTTGAATAGCATAGACCTCAGTATTAGCTCCTCTCTGCTCTATCTTGATACTACCAAAGAGATATGAGATTACCTGGCCACGAAATACTCTGGTATAGATAATTTTACCCGTGCGTATGAAGTGTGCAAAGAGTACTTCCAGTTGGAGCAGGGTACTCTGAGCCTTGCAGATTATTACTCTCATGTTCGAGGAGTCTGTGAGGAGATGAAGACTTATCATCCATTTACTACTGATGCAGCAGTTTGGCAAAAACAACATGAGGACCTGAAAGTTGTTAGATTTTGTGTAGGATTGAAACCTGAATATGAGGCTATTCGTTCTTAGATTTTGGGTGAATCTAGTCTTCCATCACTGCTGGAGGTTTTTTCTCGTTTATAGCGTGCTATAATGTCTACTCCTTTAGTCATTGATCATGGTGTCTCCACTGATCGCTCAGCTCTTGTGGTTCCTTATAGCTATAGTGATGGTCATCGAGGTGGACGTTGTGGTCGTGGTGGTCGTAGAGGTCATACGGGAAGTCGTATAAGTGGTCGTGGGGGTCATAATGGATCCCGTTCCTGTACTCACTGTGGCCATGGAGGACATACTGTTGATTTCTGTTGGAATTTACATGGAAAACCTTCTAGTACTGCTAATCAGGCTTCTTATTAGGATGTTACCTCTGTTGTTGCTTCCATACCTCGATCAGCTCCACCAGACACTGGGTCGAGAGGAGTATGTTCAGTTCCTGTCCTAGCAACAGGCGGCTTCATCTCTCTCCACTGTTACTTTTGCCTAGTCAGGTACTGCTTCCACCTATTTATTATCCTCCACTCGCAGTCCTTAGATTATAGACTCTAGCGCCTTTGACCACATGACTGGTGCGTCTGATGTTTTCTCTACTTAATATTCTCCTACTTCCACACGTAGTATTACTCTTGCTAATGGTACTTGTTCTAGAGTTTCAGGTCTGGGGACTATTCACTTGAGTCCTGATATGTCTCTATCTTCCGTGTTATTTGTTCCTCAGTTTCCTTTTAATTTACTTTCCATTAACAAGATTACTTGTTCTCTCAATTGTTCTGTAACCTTTTATCCTTCTTGTGTCCTTCAAGATCTCAAGACGAAGAAGAAGATTAGTACGGGGCATGAAGCTGGTGGCTTATATTACCTTGACTTTGATTCACCTATCCGAGCTCTACAGACCTCATTGTCTCATTTTCAATAGCATTGTCCTCTTGGACATCCCTCTCTCAAGAATCTAAAGCGTCAAGTTCCCAATTTTAGTTATGTGTAGTCTTTGTCTTGTAAAGCTTGTCAACTTAGTAAGCATCACCGTATGTCATTTCAGTATAAAGTCAATAATCGTGTGTCTAGTCCATTTGAATTAGTCCATTCTGATGTATGGGATCCAATAAATAATATTTCATCTAACAAATATCCTTATTTTGTGACATTTGTAGATGTCTATTCTCGTGTGACTTCGTTATTTTTGATGAAAACTCGATTTGAATTATTCTCTATATTTAAGACTTTTTGTAAGGAAATAAAAACTCAATTTGGTTGTCGTATACGTACTTTACGTTTTGATAATGCTCGAGAATATAAATCTGATCCTTTTCAACTTATCTTAATAAAACCAACATTATTCATCAAACTTCTTGTACTTACACCTCTCCACAAAATGATGTTGTTGAACGCAAGAACCATCATTTGTTGGAAGTCACCCGTGCCCTGTTATTCCAGATCAATATTCCCCGATATTATTGGAGTAATACTGTTCTTACTGCTTGTCATCTTATTAATCGTATGCCCTCCTCTGTGTTAAATGGGCAAAGTTCATATTCTGTTCTTTTTCTTGGTAAGCCCTAATTTTCTCTGACTCCTAAGGTTTTGGTTGTGTCTTTTATGTTAGCAATTTAGGTCCTAGATTTGACAAACTTGACCCTCGAGCTACCAAAATGTGTATTTCTTGGTTACTCTCGCACGCAGAAAGGGTATCATTGCTACAGTCCTTCTCTGCACCGATACTTTACTAGTGGCGATGTCACATTTGAAGAATTTGTTCCATACTTTCCAGCACCTTCTCAGCCTTTGTATTTGGAATTTGGATCCTCTCCTATATCAACATCAGATATTCCGCTGTCCACTGTATTACCATCTACTTTACCTCTCCGTGTCTACTCTCGTCATCCTCGCCTATCATCTAAAGTGCCCATATCATCTAGAGTACCACATTGGTAAGCAGTTACTCGTATTCTACGATATCTCAAACGAGCTCCTAGACTTGGATTGCTCCATCGAGCTAATGGACATCTTAGAATGGAAGGTTTCTCAGATGCTGATTGGGTTGGCTCTCCTTCTGATCGGAGATCAACTACTGGTTATTGCACTTTCTTAGGAGGTAATGTTGTCTCATGAAAAAGTAAAAAACAACTCGTGATAGCAAGATCCAGTGCTGAAGCTGAGTATAGGGCAATGACACATACGACGAGTGAGTTGACTTGACTACAACACTTCCTCTAGAAAATTGAGTTTCCAGTTCAACTTCCTTTACAGTTATTCTGTGACAACCAGACAGCTATCCATATCGCTGTCAATCCTGTGTTTCATGAGAGAACCAAGCATATTATGGTTGATTGTCACTTTATTCGGGACAAGATAATAGCTAGGGAGATTACAACTCCATTTGTGAATTCTGAAGATCAGCTTGCAGATATGTTTACCAAAGCATTGAATCATACACGTCTTACAGCTATTTGTTCCAAACTTGGATTATATGATATATATAGTCCAGCTTGAGAGAAAATGTTAAGAATAATAGGGTAGTATGTGCAAAGTGTTAATAGTAAGAGGGTGTATGTGTAATTCGTATTACTGTAGGTTCACTATAAATACAAGTGATATATGAGAGCTAGGTTAAGTTTTGAACCTCTCTCTTTCTCTCTAATATTGTGTTATATTAATTCACTCAACTTAACAATGAAGAACTACAATTGAGTGCTTAAAACCCTTACAAAGGTGTGACACATCACTTCTTTTGTCTCATTCTTATTCTTCTTCTTCTTTTATCAACTTGTGTACTTTCACGACGTTATTGAACATTATTTAACTAAAGTGCCCAACCACTCAATCCATCCAACTTTATATCCTACTAATTGTCAAATTTTCACATCAAAACTTGTCAGCGTTCCCCACACTTCTCCTACATCACTTAATTAAGATATAAAATAACCGAACAGCCTAAAGAGCGCTTTTAGGGAAGAAAAAATCTTGAAAAATGAAAAACAGATCAGTCAGACATTGATTAGAAAATCATGAATTTATACTATATACCCAACAAGGAAACTCATTTAAATTATTGGTGCACCCAAGAATTTTTATACGATGAGGACCAGGGAAAAGAAAAGCAGCAAAGCAAACAAGAGAATTTGAATCTTAGAGACAAATTAGTCTCATTGATAGCAGAGAAGCCACCAACCTAATAATATATAATGTTACCTCCAAGAAGATTGAGTCTATTTTGTGCAAAACATCATGCAAGGAAACCAATTTAATTTCTATTTTTTAATTCATTTTATGGGCATATGCTTTAATACCTCAACACATACATTCTGTCGAAAGCAATGCATGGGCGGAATTTGCCAACTACCAAACTAACCGCATCCAAATGGAGCCCAGACATACGATACACAATCTAATGATAACAGCTTTTATCCCGTCATTTCACACCATGTTAAACTGAATTCATACATTTGGTAACCGGTGGGGAATAAAGATGAAAATTCAGATCCTACCTCCCTCCCTATCTCTCTCTCTCTCTTGAATGTAAGTTTCTAGGATAAATTGCCACAGGACAACTCACAATCCAGCATATTTTATATAAGTTCTCAAAATCATTCACCAGGCGTTTAAATCTAAATTGAAGCCTTACCAATCAAAGATTAACTTCTACATCAAACAAAGATGGGTATAACATTTGAGAAGAAAGACAAAGGAACAGACTTAACTACACACAAAGAAAACAATCCAGCCTTCATGCTGAAGTTTTCATAGATAACATGTTATATAAAGAAGCGAAATTATACATGAAGGAAAAACAAACAAAGGACAAAAAAGATACACTAGAAGGTGAGACTTCTCATGCCAAATTTGCACAGCCACACAAAATAATAATTTGTGTACAATACAAAACAATCCAATGGTTAAGTCCTCCGCCAAAGTTCAACAAAGAAGAGATAACAATTAGAGACAATTGCACTAATTTTGGGGAAATTTGCTCGCTAAATAGAACAAAAGAAGCAAAACATCCCAATCTATCTCTAGTTTAACAGCTAAGAATTAAAATTTTATTAGACATTAAATGTCGTATGAAGTTAGGTGTATGAAGTTAGGTGGCTGAGGCTAGCGCCACCAGCGACATCCAATGCATCCATCATCTACCTCTCACTGAGAAGCCTCTCCAACTCTCAAATCTCGTTTCAAAAATACTTCATTCTCACCCATCTTGTGTTCCTAATGACAAAGTACTTCTCCCTACTTAACATCATTGTTCAGTTAGATGCAAACTCTAACATAGAAAAGTTGTTTAGACATAAACAGAACAGAGTTTCATTCATATTAAAGTTGATGCATACAAAGGACTAACTCTATTGAAACATATAAACATGCATAAAAACACAACTAACAAAAATAATACAAAAGTTCACAGCCAAACTGAAAAGCACCATAGCTGAGGCTACATACCACAAGTTTTTTGAAAGTTTAAAGGTTGTGTCACAACATACCCGCAATTTCACACGGACCCACAACTCAATTCTCTTTCTCAATCGCAGCATTGGCAGTAGCAAGATCCTCATCCAAGAGCAAATCCCAATGCCCATCCCACTTGATGAAAAACTCCGTTTCTTCAAAATACTTCACTCTATGAACATCCCCAGCAGGAGTAAACAAGTAATCCCCCACACCTAGATCATACTTCTTCCCTTTGCTCAAATTCCACACCCTCTTGCTCCCCTTCAACACCACCAAATCATGCCCAAACGTATGATGATGCGCCGGTTCAACACTCCCAGCCTCAAACCTCACAATTGCCGAGGTGGGTGTCTCTCTAATCACCTTCATATGCCCACCAGGCATGATTTCGATTGGAGTGAACTCTCTATTTTTCGCCAAACAACAGAGAAAGCAAGGGTCAATAGAATTCTCTTCATTCTTGTCATTTTCTTTGTTGCTTTCTACTCCAATTTTTGACATTTCATGGATTGAATTGTCCAAGAAATCGTTGATTTCTGGGGGCCAAGGTTTGGAACCTGAAGCGGGGCAAGGGGATTTGAAGGGGGTGTTGAGCCAGGTGTCGAGAATTTCGATGGCGGAGTCCGGCGAGGTGGACATACCGGAGACGGCGAGGACGTTGCAGTTGTTGATGGATCGAGCATTGAGGGCATCAGAGGGGGTGAGGCAGGTGGCGGCGTAAACGCCGGGGAACTTGTTGGCGAACATGCCGACTCCCACTCCGGTGCCGCAGGCCACAAGGCCTCGGATCTCGACGGAGGAGTTGGTGTTAGCGGCGGAGCTGACACGGCGTCCGACTTCTTCACCGGCGATGTAATATTTGTCGGTGCCTAAGTCTTCGACGTCGATGTTGAGGGAACGGAGGTGGGTAACAAGGGTGTCTTTGAGGGCGCAGCCGAAGGAGTCGGCTCCGGCTATGATTTTGAGGTGGCGAGAGGTGTCTTCAGTGGCCATGGAATGGTTATGGTAGTGGCGGCGGCACTGCGAGAGTGAAGGTTGGGACTGAGACTTGGGGAAAGTAGATGGTATACGATGAAAGACCCGACGAGAAAGGTCTAGAAACTAAAAAGTCGTACAGGTGCGATTTTCGTGATCACTTCATTTAATCTAAGGGACAAGGGGATTATAATTCGATGAATTCGAGTCAATTTACTTGGATATAAACTAATTAGTTATAACTTGTGCACGAAGTAAAAGTAAAATATAAAATTAGAATATTTAAAAAATTAATTGTATTATATTAAATTTTTTAACATGTGTATATTATCGTATATAAATAATATTTAAAATAAAAATTATATTAACTAAAAATTAATTAAATATTAAATAATTAAACATCCAATATAAAATAATGATGTGATATTTTTAGGAGAAAATATATAAATAATTAAGTATATGATAGAAATGAGTGATGTGATATTTTTAAGAGGAAAAATATGTAGAGATAAAAATTCAAGTTGCTATGTATTTTATTAAATAAATATTTAAATTTAATTAAAATTTAGTAAAGTTTTTTTTAAATGAATTTAAATTTAATAAATTTCATCCGTCATATATACACATATATTCATACATATATATTTAATTGAGAAAATTTATTGTATATACATATATATAAATGCTTACTTAGATTATTAATAAAATTGACATAAAATTAAACATAAAATATTAAATAGAATGATTGATCGATTAAATTAAGTTGGAAGTTAACTTAAATTTAATAAAATTATTAATTTTTTATAAAATTTTGTTGAGATTCAAAAATTCAAATCAGGCCGAATAAACAAATCAGAGATTCAATTAGTAATGGATGCAGACATATATATTAAGAATTTGAAATTCGTCAAGTAAACATATCATATTCAAAATTCGATTTTTTTTGAATTCGAATTTGGACAGATCAACATCTGATCGATTGACAACCCTAGAGACCAAGGGAGAAGCTAGGATTTTGTTTTAAGTTGGGGCAATCTAAAATTCTTAAATTTAAACTATAAATGCAACATGTTTTCATCAAAATGTATATTCTTAATAAACTTTTTTTATGTACAGTTCCATAAAAAAAATATCATTTAAATGTGCAACTCATATATGAGCGATGTATAAAAAAGACAATAAAAAGATCATATATTTCTTAACTAAAAGGCAGTTTTTCCAGTGTTGATTTTTTTTACAAGAAATCTATCCATAACTAATTAAAAAATGAACTTATCTAACTAAATTCAAATTTAATAGCTCATCATTAAGTTTGTAATGAATGAAAATATATACTACACGTAATCAAAATATAATCCATAAATTTACAATAATATAATCCATAAATCTATAATACTTGTGGGTATTTGTTGCAAAAATTTCAGATCTAGTTCCCTTGTATTTGGGTCTTGTTGATTGAATTTTTAATTAAAATAGACAAGTTTTGGGTGTAGAATTTCTGGGATTTACTGCAACAAATTTTGTATTGTTCATGCTTTATTTTGTGTTGAAATTAAAGCAATACACTGCATCAAAAGTTGGTCACTGTTTTGATTTTTTTTAGTCATGTTCTTTGTGATTTTTGACGGACCTAGCCTAGACTAAGCCCAAATTAGAGATGTAAATCAGGCCCAGCTCAGAGATTCAGACCAGACCAAAATTAGAGATGCAGAACAACAAAAGCCCGGTCACAATTGGTATATGGCCAAGTCCAGTTTCCTAAAAGGCTCAGTCCATTATCAACGCATGTAGAAGTCTTCATCCGAGGAGAAGAAATCGGTATACAGTCATTAGGGACACATTGTTAGCCTCACAAGGTTACCTCGTCTGTTACAAGGTAGAGCGAGCTACAAAGGATCACCCTTTATCACGTCACCCGTTACAAGGATAAGGTAAGATTCACGACATCACCCCACTTTTTGTAACGATATCGTCTCAATTAGGGCCCTTCAGAGCCAACTTCTCTTGCCATAAATTGTAAGCCTCACCTACACATGAGGGACATCACAGACATTTCAGTACACTATATTCTTGAGCAATAAGATTCTTCCGACCACCGTAGCCTTTCCTGATGGAGTAGGTCATCCAGACCGAATCCACCTAATCTTTGTGTTTGCTTGTGTTGAGCCCTTCTTATTTCATCCATTGATTGATTTTGCATAAACACTTTTGTGCATAATGACTTAGTTTTCACCCCTTTGTACTCACATTTTTATCATCATTTACAATCAGAGTTGTGAATCAACAAAAAAATGATCAATCACGTCAGGACAAGGTCTTACCCCTGCCTACAAACCCCGTTGCTGAAGCAAAATTACTAGAAACCACAAGGTTATTGGTGAACAAAAACCAATAAATCCTCCAATTGATGCTTACTAAGCAAGCCATGCCCCAAATAGGCATCATGCCCCAGCAGCTAGGAGGTGCCACACACCCTAGTAACCAAGAGGAGCAGTACCCTAGTGGCAAGAGGCGTAGTGCCCTAGGCGCCAAGGGCGCCAATTTGCCCCCACCTCGTGAAAGGCACCTCACCTCAATGTGCGTCTGCTCCTTTTCCTCTTGTGCCTATTCAATCTTCCCATCCCAATGACCCTCCATTCCAACAAGGCGAGGGGGAAACCTGTATAGACCATGAAAGCCATTACAACAAATCAGAAGGTGTCCCTAACCACTAGGATGAGAAGATCAAGGAAGTACAAGATCAAATTGGTGACATCTTCAATGACATGAAGGCGAGAGAACCAGAAACATTTGAGCACCTTGTAAGGCGCACCGACACCCCATTCGTAGCCAATGTGGCCAACTAACCCCTAACTCCAAAGTTCAGAATGCTGACAATGGAAGTGTTTGACGGTTCAAAAGATCCACTGGACCATTCTGACACTTACAAATCACTTATACAGTTACACAACATACTAGAAGAGATTATGTGCGAGGCTTTCCCCACTACCTTCAAGGGGTCTACATGCAACTGGTTCCCCAAGCTCACACCAGGATCCATGAATTCTTTTCCCAAACTGAGAAAATCATTTGTCTCCCATTTCATAGGGGGATGCCGGCATTAGAAGCCTGTCACCCATTTTCTTAGCATCAAGTAAGACCAGGACGAATGCCTAAGGAGTTACCTTACTCATTTTAATGAGGAGATTCTCTAAATCAAAGAGCCATATAACAAAGTCACCATGACTGCCTTTATTGCAGGTTTGCATTCATCCAACTTTATGTTCTCAATTTTAAATAAACCGCCAAAAAACATGCCAGAATTACTATCAAATGCCCAAAAATACATTAACGTTGAGGACGTTACCAAGGCCAAGCGGGGGTGAGCCCTCATGTGGAGGGGAGAACTTGAAAGAGCCTTGTGAAGACAGAAGAGAAACTAAGAATAAGAAGGGAAGGATCAAGAGGGTGTCAATCAAGGATCGCCTTGGCCTTGCACCTCAGAGGGAGTGGCAAGCCTTCATGCCACTCATTGCCTCAGTTGAGTATATTTTGCTCCAAATTCAGGATGACTATGTAGTGCATTGGCCAAGGCCAAGAAAAATGAAATTTGCTCCAAATCGTAGGAACCCAAACAAGTATGATCACTTTCATCGCGACCATGGTCACGACATTGACGACTGCTTCGAACTCAAGAAGCAAATTGAGGACCTTATACAACGAGACCAACTACAGTAATATGTGGTAGGCAGAGGACACACCTCACCACTAGTTCGCAACTAGGATGAGGGGGAGCAGCAGAAACCTCTGGGAGAAATCCATACGATCTTCGGAGTATGTTTAACCCTAAAAAGTGCATAAAAAAATTAGGATTTAGGGTTAATTGTGTGCGTTAAAAAGTTTAAAAGGTTTGATTTAAATAGTATTTAAACCTAATGTGCGAAAACTTTATTTTGTAGGGTTGTGTATGCAATTATGGAGAATTAGAGGGCTAAAAGTGCAAAGAAAAAGAAAGAAGAAAAAAAAAAGAAAAAATCAGCATTGAGGCATCATTCGGATGCTAAGAGGACCATTCCAATGGTGCCCAAGGTCAACAAGTCAACTAAGGTGGCTTCTATTCAAAAGACCAGAGACTTAACACAGTCAGAACAGTAGTGGTGGCATCTGGACAATGGCCTTAACCGCCTTGCCTCCTCTTCTTTTCCTATTGGTTCATTGACGTAACAAAAAGCCCTGATTGGCTAACTTGAGTGTCTGCTGCCTTAAACCCTCCATTCGAGCCTATAAATAGGTGTGTTCGGGTCATTTTGAAGGAGAGTCTTCCACCTTTGACAAGCCAAAGTCCGAGAGAAGAAATACCCTACCCTAAACATTTCAAGCCAAAAATTATGTTCTTCTACATTTTTTTTTACATCCTTTTTACTTGGAGGATTGAATCTCTCACTTTTTTTCCCTAGTTGGTAATAGAAGTGAGGGTATTTCAACTATTTCTTGGGGAAGGATTTTTTTTTTTTTTGATTTATTTTGTAATGGGATTGTCTTGCCCTTCTTGTTTGTCTATAACAATGATGTGTAAGTCCATTTATACTCTTTAGTAAAGGGTGAAGACATGTGTAATGTTGTTTGTATTATGGAAATGCTAATGTTTTATCTATGTTTTAATATTTATATCTCTCTTAAATTATGGATGATTTTCATTTCTGTTTGGTATCGTATTAATATATGCTCATTGTTACGAGTACTGAGCTAAACTCATTCTTATATACCATTTCATCTATATGTTATTATGTACTTAATGCATGATACAATGATGCATGTAGTTGGAATTTATGTAAAAAATTGGAAAATTGGTTACAGACGGGGTAAAACTTACCATAGCCAATGCTTTTGATTCAATGCATAAAACGGAGCTCCGTCTTCATTGAATCATAGACCAGTCGATCAAATAGGTATAGTAAACCTATTGAATGGTTCACCTTCTAGTTTACTAGGGTTATTTGGTTGTTGTACGGTGCATAGACCTTTCAGCTAACTTAACAGTTGTTGTGACATGGTTTAACTTATACAGCAAACCTACTAGTTAACTTTCTGTCAACACAAGAGCTAATTGTTGTAAGGTGGCATTTTCATGGTCAGAAAATAGAATGCATGTTGGATCCCCGAGCTAAAGAGTACTCTTTTTCAATTGCTGTAATAAAAGTATAGTTTAAGTGTTTATTTTTTTTATTTTAAGCTTACACCGCAAGCTGTTATAATATACACTACTCACATGGCAATTTCACTTTTTCTGCTTTGAGTTCCAACAGATAACTCCATTTAGTTTCGACCTTGGACTTAACTGAGTAATATTATAACTTTTCCACTTATACTTGGGTGTATGATTAACATCAAATCAGAGGGATTGGAGGAGGAGGCGACTCCAACTCAGCTAGAAAGGCACAAGTCAAAAAGGTTAGCCGCTCAGAGCCAAATAACCCACGCCTATTGAAGTCTTACAGGGTAGGAAGACGGTGAGGTCATCTCCTTCTCAGACAAAGATCTAGAAAGGATCCAGCACCCCCACGATGACTCATTGGTACTGACCATAATGGTAGCCAACTATCAAGTGAGAAGGATCCTAGTGGATAGCGACAACTCTATCGATATCCTATTCGCAGGGGCCTATCATAGTCTTCGTCTCTACAGGGAGAGGCTTTAACCCATCAAGACGCCTCTCATTGGATTCTCAAGAGATAAGGCAGACCCCCTGGGCTCTATCACTTTACTAGTAACAACGGGCATGACACCTAGAAGCTCTACTATAATGGTGAATTTCTTAGTGTTTGATTGCCCATCTGCTTACAACATCATCTTCGAGCATCCCACACTCAAAACCTTGAGGGGTGTGCCATCCACCTATCATCTCATTCTCCATTTTTCAACTCCATGTGGAATTGGAGAAGTTTGACCAGTCACGGCAAAAGAGTGTTATGTGGATTTCATGAGGGCCAAAAAACCACAAGTGGCCTTGCAAGTGGAAGTACTTGATCCTTAGGACGACGGCACACTAAAGAGAGGAGAGCCAATGGAGGAGCTCACGCCAGTAGTCTTGAACGAAAACCTCCCAGAGAGAAAAGTCTATATTGGCTCCTCACTTCCAGAAGATCGAGCCCACCAACTTATTGATTTTCTGAAATAAAATATTGATGTATTTGCCTGGTCTCACAAAGACCTTAAAGGCATTGACCTTGGAGTTTCCACTCACTAGCTCAATATAGATCCTAGGCACAAGCCCGTTTACCAAAAGCTAAGAAGTTTCACTATAAAAAGAACGCAAGCTATGGAGGAAGAGGTCGGGAAGCTGTTAGCAAATGGGTTAGTTAAGGAGGTGGCTTACCCATTTTAGTTGTCCGATGTGGTTATGGTGAATATGGTTAGTGGGAAGCGGCATGTCTATGTGGATTTCACCGAGCTAAACAAAGATTGTTCCAAAGACAGCTACCCATTGCCTTGTATAGAGATCCTCATCGATGCCACAACTGGCTATGAGCTAGTCAGTTTCCTAGATGTCTATTTTGTATATAATCAAATCAGAATATATCCACCAGATCAAGAGAAGACATCTTTCATCACTCCCAAGGGAACCTATTGTTACAGGGTTATGTCCTTTAAACTAAAGAACGCAGGAGCCATGTACCAGCGGCTCGTAAACAAGATGTTTGAGTCACAGATCAAGAAAACTATGGAAATGTATGTCGACGACATGCTGGTAAAGAATCTAGTGGCAGCGGAACATGTAACACACCTACAAGAAACCTTTGGCATCTTGAGGTCTTATCGGATGGAGTTGAATCTTGAGAAGTGCACCTTTGGCATGGGATTAAGAAATTTTTTGGGCTTCATGGTCAACAAGAGGGGCATTGAGGCAAACCCAGATAAGATCAAAGCTATTCTAGACATGAAGTCCCCCACCACTATGAAAGAGGTCCAACGCCTCAATGGAAAAGTTACGGCTTTTAACAGAATCGTCTCGAAATCCTCTAATAAATGTTTACCTTTCTTCAGGATCCTCTAAAAAACTTTTGGATGGAGACCAAACACAGAAAAAGCTTTTGAAAAGCTGAAAGCCTATCTTGTTGCACCTCACTTACTCTTCCATGCCATATTTGGAGAGGCCTTGTACTTGTACCATACTGTATCACCATCTGTCATGAGCTTTGTACTTGTTAGAGAGGATGAGGGGATACAAAATCTCATATATTATTTGAATAGGGCATATCGAGGGGTAGAGATAAGGTACACAAAGTTGGAAAAGTTAGTACTCACCTTATTCATGTCAGCCAGGCGTTTTTGACACTATTTTTAAGGCCACATGATTATTGTTGTCACAAATCAACCATCGAAAAGAATACTCGAAAAATCAGACGTATCCAGAAGGCTCCTCAAATGGGTTGTGGAACTGGGAGAGTTTGACATATGGTATCAACAACCAAGAGCAGCCATAAAGCATAGGCAATAGCATATTTTATGGCCAAGCTCATGCTATCTGCACCAGCATCTACACCTGATGACTCCCACACCCTCAGCACCTGATGTGCACTGGCACCCCCTATTCCACCTATGGCGCCTAGAGGTCCCCTGGAACCCCCTACTAGGAGCTTGCCGCCCCACCTTTGGCGTCTATCATAGCATTGGCACCCACAGGCGACTGATCCACACTTGGCACCCCACTTGCCTAATCTCAAAGCATACACCCCTCATAGAAGGACGGACACCCGTTAATGTCGTGCCTACCTCCCTCGACTCAGTGTCGGCTAATCCCAAAGCTCGATCTCCACATCGTTGGAGACTCTATGTGGATGGTTCATCAACCAATGAAGGGAGTGGAACAGGCCTAGTACTCATCAGCTTTAGCGGCACTCCCCTTAAATATGCCATAACTTTCCATTTTTTAGCCTCCAACAATGAGGCAGAATATAAGGCCCTGATCTCAAGCATGAAGTTTGCAATCGAAATGGAGGCCCGCTATCTCACCGCCTATAGTGACTCCCAATTGGCAATGAACCAGGTAAGGGGAGATTTTAAAGCAAAGAAGGGGAGGATGCAAGAGTACCTAGCAATGGTACAAACCTTATTAGTAAAATTTCACCATTTCTAGCACAAAAGAGAGGATAATGTGATGGAAAATGCACTCGCCAAGTTTGCATCATCCATAGACATCCCACCAAGCCCTGCCCTTATAGGACACCAATTTGATCCAAGTAGGCTCAAAGTAGATACAAGGACTATCAACTGCACATCTACAGTCCCAGACTGAATCACATCTGTCCAAGCATAGTTAAAGAAAGGCACACTCCCAAACGACCCAAAGGAAGCAAAGAAAATAAGATTAAAGGCTTCTATATATGTTATCCTACAAGACACCCTCTACACGAGAAATTACTCATTGCCTTTCTCTAGACGAGTCCAATTACGCCATGAGAGAGATTCATGAATAAGTATACGAAAATCATTTTGGAGGACTCTCTTTGCCCACAAGACAATCAAACAAGGCTATTACTGGCCTAACATAATCAGAGATGCTTGAGACTTTGTAAAAAAATGAGATAAGTGCAAACGTTTCGCTACTATGTTGAGACAGCCACCAGAGGGGTTGAACACCATTATTAGCCCCCAGCTATTCTCCAAGTTCGGTATCGACAACCTAGGCCCTTTGCCCATAAGTTGTAGATAACACAAATTTGTCGTGACAACCATCGACTGTTTCACAAAATGGGAGAAGGTTGAGCCCTTGACCAAGATAATAGATAAAAAAGTAAAGGACTTTATATGGTAGAAGATGGTGTGCCAATTTGGAGTGCCCCACACCATAGTGAGTGACAATGCCAAACAATTCGACAATAAACTCCTCAATACCTTTTGCACTGACTTCTAGATTAAACAACCCCACTCTAGTCCAGCCTATTCCTATGCAAACGGACAGGCTGAGATCACTGTAAGAACCATATTGCGAAATCTAAAAGCTAGACTGGAAAGTGCCAAAGGACTATGGGTAGAAGAACTTTCAGCGGTGCTATGGGCATACCAGACAACACCTAGGATCCCCACTAGCGAGACTCATTTCTCCCTCGCCTTTGGCACTGAAGCAGTCATACCTGTCGAGGTTAGGGTCCAACACCAATGAAAAAGGTATTCGTGTCAACCTCGACTTGATATAGGAGGAGAGAGACATAGCTGCAGTCAGGAATGTGAAACATAAGCGCAACATGACCAAGTACTACAACTCGAGGGTAAAACCTCGCTCCTTCTTACCTTGAGATTTGGTCCTTAAGAATGTAATACTAGCCACTAAGGACTCACGAGAGGGGAAGTTAGGACCAAACTGGGAGGGGCCATACACTTTGATAGAGATTGTGAGGCCAGACACTTATAGGATCCAGAATTTTGTGGGAAATGTTCTACGCCATCCATGAAATGCTGAACACTTGAAGAATTACTACCAATAGTGTTGTTTTTTTTCTTATTTTGGTTAGCCATTTTGTACTTTTAAGAGTCCACCTGCCTACTGGTGTTTATTACCAGCAGTTATCAAATAAAGCTTTGAGGATTCATCATAGAAATTGTCTTGCTTTTCATTTCTCAAAAAGTTCAGAACATAACACAAAAAAACAAAAAGAAAGCAAAAAAGTAAAAAGTAAAGTCTTATCAAGCATTCTCGTCACTCTAGCTACTTTCGCTATCATCGTCCTCCTCGTTGCTGCTTGATGTGCTCTCATCGAAATCCTATCCATCGTCATCACCACCTACGCTCGACTCCTCACACGGGACAAATGTCGAAAAGTTTATACTAGGAAAGGCAGCTAAATATTTTCCCCCTTGAACTCCTCATAACAATTAATGAAAGCGTCTACTACACTATCCTACAGGTCATGAACAACATTCTCTACAACCTCCCTTCTCCTATCTTTCTTTTGGGAGTCGGCCTCTACTCTGATAGCCCTCTCATGAGCAACCTGAAGCGCTGCCTCTATCATAGTAGCCCTCTCGTGAGCTACCCGTAGTTCTACCTCTATTGCGGTAGGCCTTTCATGAGCTACACACAACTTTACCTCAACTCTAACAACCCTCTCATGAGCTGACTGTAACTCTACCTCTACCCTCGCGCAAGTAGCCTTAGTCTCAGCCTCCAACTTATCTACTTTCTCACAATTTTCCAAAAACTCGGCCTCAAGAGGTGCAACTCTCTCGTGAGCCTCCCTTAACTGCCCTTCGAAAGCTAGTAGTGTCTGTCTCTCCCTCATCAGAGTTATTGATGTATGCTTATGCTGACCAACCCTCACAAAAAGACACATAGCGGCTGTAGACACCTACAAATACAAGAAAAGAGAAAAATGTTAGTACAATCAAAGGATAGAAGAATAAAATTCCATAGAAAAAGAAGTACATATGATTACCCTGGCTAAACCCACCATCATGGTATCAATAATGCCCTCGGTATCCTGATAGCTAACTTCTCTAATCTCCAAGAGCGACATGAACTTCAAGAGTCACTCCCTAGTGACATTCAGATCCTGAAGTATGGACACTAAACCACTGCTAGACGTTGGAGAAACAAATGGCCCTCCCGTCTGCATGAAAGAAGGAGTCACTATTTTGAAGGCCTTGACTAGTAGAGTAGCCAAATAAGGCGCTTAGATAACTAGAACAGGAAAAGGAGTCACCTCCGAGGAGTCTGCGGGGAATCATCGAACCTCACCCACTTTGACAGAGGAGCTGCCTGGGCAACCCTAGTAGAGTAATGAGCCTCTACCCTCGATCTATATACTGAGGGTCTTGAAGAGGAGGAGGTACTTTTTAGACATTAAAAATACCCCCACACTCACCATTAAAAATATTATACCTCTCTTCTTGGAAGAGAAGCCGTGAGCTCGTGGAGAAGAAGACGGAGTGGAAGAATCTCCTGAGGGGAAACCTCTTGCTTGACCCACTCCAGCCATGAGAACTGTATAATCCTTAATAGGATGGGCCTTCACAGCCTGAAGCTTTTTCTCTTGATCCACTAACAATTCTGGAAAACCTGAAAAAGAGCTAAGTCCATGTTGAAGACTTAAAGGACATATCAACTAAATAAAGTTCAATTTTGGTGAGATAATTGTTTCTGTATACTACAATACAAACAACAAAGTAAGCCGATTTATTGATGAATATATCAAACCTTTCAAGAAATCAAAGGAAGGAAAGAAATGAGGGCTAATGAAGAAAGACAGAGTTGCAGAGACCAAAGTTCAAACAAAGAAGACGTTTATACTAGTAAAGGGCATGAAATGAGCAAGCAGCCAAATTTATGTTTAATAGTTTGAAAATTACACTAACCCCACTTATACTTTATGAAAATTTTTTGAAATTTTCAAAAATTCACCTAGATCCCAAATTTTTTTAAAATTCCAGTGGGGGGCAATTTTCCCCACTGCCCCCATACTAAATTCACCCCTACTAGGGACAAAGCAATGGTAATTGAAAATTTTTTTTGTTATTATTTTGGAAAATAATTTATAGTTAGAAATTCTTGAGGGTTTATTTATAGTTATTGATTATAAAAATAGTAAAATACAAATATTTATCATTGTTACATTTGTATTAGACTTGCAATGCAACAATTTAAAAAATAATTTTTTTTTAACTTTATAAAAATATGAATTTTTTGTGTAATTAAGATTAAATAATAAATTTGGTGTTGGATAATTAATCCATAGTTTATTTTTTGTTAAACTTAAATATTGATCTATTCTACCTCTCTTTGAATACCTAATCTACTATTCATTAAAGCATCTTCCCGATTGTATATATGCATTTACTATTTTGCATATAATAAAGTTTCATTTAAGATCGTTCTTCTTGAATGTTTGCATACAAAGAAAAAATTCAAATACAAACTTATATTTGATTGTAAAATCTAATTTTGTGACTCTATGTATAGATCAATAGAACATAGATATAGATATTAATATAAAAAACTGTATAAAATGTTTCACATATGTATGAGTCTGAAAAAATTGGGAAAGTCAAATACTAATCATAAAAGACCTAAAGGACTCTAGAAGTCAAATATTATTTATAAAAAAGTCCAAACAACTTAGAAGTCAAATAAATATAAAAAATAAAAAAGAGATCAAAATAAATATGAGGATATAATTTAATTTATGATAATAATTAAGGATAAATTAAAAATTAAAAAACATCATATATGCTAATATCTAGAAGCAGTATAGATATCGATAAAAATTATAATAATTTTTTGATACCATAATTAGATTTAGAGTTTAAAGAGCAAAAATTAGATCACAACTATTTGATCTATTCACATTACTATCATGCCCATATAGAAAGGTAGGACAGAAATCAAGTCGTGTTATATCGACGATAGTAATTCGATATTTTTATTCATTTTTCTTGTTCAAGTTGGCAAATTCATGAAAAAGAATTTCAAGTTTAGAATTTATTAATCTCCTAATTAAATTTGCAATCCGATAAACAAAAAACCACTTTGAACCATATGTTCATAAAATCAAGTAAAGTGATCCAATGGATTTTCATAAAATACAATACCAAAAAACGGGACGTGAGTTGGCGGGCCTATCAGTGGAAGAAACTTGTACCAAGGTGGGCCTCATCAGATGAACCTTATGTCCCGAGCATGTTCAGACCGAGAAGGTACTCAATGATCAAGAGACATCCTTATTGTTGTTGGCATTCAAG